AAACAGTCATCAGCTCTTCCCTTAAACTCAGCGTGGAAGTCTCAGAGTAATCATGTTGACAGGCAAACAAATAACACAGTGAAGGACAGTGATTATATCCCACCTGACAATAACAACTTGGCATAAAGTGTACTTGGTAAAAAAGAGAAAACTGGTGACTTCTTTGTTCTTCCATTATGTAGTTGAATACTTCAAAACACACCATTTCAATCAGCAGTACAATAAACGGCAGTGAAACTCAACCAATCTGTTGGGGGAGTGGAGAGTGTTTATTTGGACCTCTCTTGCCTTGAACAACCAATTCCCTTAAAGTTCCAGAGCCAATTTTGAGTAAAGGTTAGGGCAGCAGAGGGCCCGGCTGGACGACAGCAGGTTTGTGATGGAGTGAGTGTGGAGTGGGTACGGGGTGGAGGTTGCGAGACCTTCAGAGGTGAGGGTGATGACAGCACTTTGGGACATGGTGACAGCTGAAGGGCGCTTCAACTGGCATGGCTTGTGTACCTGCACAAACAGCCACACACACACACACACATTCCCCACATCTCTATCGTCCCGACAACTCTCCCCACGCACACACAATCTACCTGCAGGCCAGTTATTCAAAAGGCAGCAATGGCGCTAATGGGAATGTGCTATGACTCTACATGCTGCCATCGTTTAAGGGATTCTTCACCATGCTAATAATCTGACATTTTGGGGTTTTCATGTCACTTTGGATTAGCTTAGCCAGCAAAGTTTGTCAAACTGGCTGACAGGCCAAGAAAAAAACTCATTTGTTAATGCTCAACTATTGAGATTGGAGCTTTTTGAGCATTGCAGTCCAAGCAGCAAGTGTTTAGCAGCTCACTTTGTAAAGTGAGAAACTAAGTGAGAGGTTTGAGGGTTTCCAAGAAACCTGATGTGACCTGGCGGTTGCCTTCCTACACAATTCAGCTTGATTCTCATCTCCTTTCAGTGGTCAGTCTAGAATTTTTATCATTGAGTTTGATTTCAATGAACAGGAAGAGGCGCTGCGAAGGATTATAGTGTGACACACTGAAACCCCCCCCCACAAAATCCTACAAAGTGTTTTTGATTTAGTTTCTGGTGCAAATATCTTAGTGCACTTGAAGACAAAACTAACGTACGAGTAATAATAAATAATAAAAAAAAGTACTAGTTCCGTTGGGAGATTATTTCATTTGTAAAAATATTTTCCTCCATATTGGAAGTGAAATAATTCAATCTTTCATCAATATTAAGGAATTATTGACTTATAACAAGCTCCTATATCTTGCTGAAAAGTCATTTATGAGTTAGTTTTGTCTTATTTTAAGTAGACAAGCAATTCGACCCAAAATACTTTGTACGATGTTGTGTTTTGCGGGGAACAATGTGAATACGTTTCATGAAAAAGTGTGGGAATATTTTAGCAAGTCACTGCAACGGCGAACGGGTAAGCGATCCCTGCACAGTCTCAACAAACTGCAACTGTGAAGCTGCAATATGTTGTGTTGTGAACCAGCAGAGTCGTCATTGTTCCCATCTGTCAAGAGATCACAGATCGGAACAATTGAAAACAACTTTACACAAAGTCACATAAAAGCTTCAAATCTGCAGTGCAGCAAAAAACTTCACAGCCAGCCTTCACTGAGCCAGGTGAATTGGACCGACGTCTAGAAATTCATAATTTCACTTTCGAGTCAGTTGCCTAAATATAACCTTTTCACTGCCAAGTGCAGTTCTTCAAAATGCTTGAAATGCTTAGTGGCCTCATATACCAACACTGTTATTGGACCTTTTAGCCAAGTTTTTAGCCCTCTGGCCAAAAATGTTGTAGTTATTCTGAAAAGACACGATGCGAGTGCTGTACAAATCATTTACAATGACTGCCAAAGCACTTAATGCCATGAGATGGGTACTGAAAACATCCAGACGTCAACTTAACAAGCATTTCATTAACATTTCTAAGCACCGCAAGAATCTTCCGCTCACAAATTCACAAAATCCCCCAAAAGCTCAAGGACAAAGGTGATCGCTTCAAAACTGTGTTTGAAAGATACAATTGTTTGTTTTAGATATGAATCCCAAATAGCAATAAAAAGAGCATTAGACATAAAACAAAACGCCTCATTTAAATGTTTTTCTCTCATTAAAACAAACGACAGAAATGCACTGTCGGCTCATCGTTGCGTCAACCATTGCATGCTAAACAAGTCGCAGCTGGTCTTAATTTGTTAAAGCACAGAAAATGAAGCTGTTGCAATAATGAAGCTTGCTGGAATAATAAAAACATCCATTTTGGCTTTCCTTCACCTGCCTGACAGTGAAATGGCTTCATTTCAATTTCAAAAATAGAGACATTTCTGCTGCAGGAATTAAACATCTCATCTTAGACCGTAAGTGATGTTCATTCAATCTCTTGATGCTTAAGAAGAAGATGGAAAGACTGTCATCAGATCAAATGCCACATTTTCATTCTGGGGAACTTAGTTAAGAAGAATTAAATGTTCTTGTCCTAACCTACCCTAGTTCCCATGCAGCTGACGTGACTCACTGAGATGTGATTCTTGGGATTGATATAAGGTACCATTGTGTCAAGAGTTTGTTGAGATCTTATTTTGTTTCTGTGAAAAATGTGTCAACTGACTGTAAAAGAAAATGGTGTGAATGACTTGATGTGAGATTGAACAACAAAGAAAGTTGAGACTCGAGTTTCATGTATCAAAGCTCTAATCTTAATTTTTGTCGTGCAAGTTTTTCTGTAATTTTTCAGCATGATAAAAAGCTTACATTTTTTTTCAATTGTTTTTAAATGTGACGTCAAAGAGTTTCCCCCATCTCCAGACAATAGGCGCTAAGAGTTTTGGAATGTGGAGGCAAGAAAGAAATTCAAATTACAATGCAAAAGCAGCTTTTTGGTCACAACTAAATGTTTTCAACGAAGCAAATTAAAAATTAAAAATAAAGATAGCCTATCCAACCATTTATGAAGTTAGTTCTTCACCAAGTCATTTGATAAATGACCACAGACTAACCACTTGTATTTGTTTCAATGTTACACACAGGCTTCTTTACTGACAGATCTGTCGAGGGAAAAAAAACAAATAAAACCATTCTGTCTGAACTTAAAGTAGGCTGAAAAACTAATACATTATTGGATTACCTAGAAACAGATTCTGCAAATGGAGAATTTGGCTCATGTTAACTGGGAAAGAAGTGGTTAAAGCCCATGGAAAAGGAGTTAAAGTGATTCACATCTATTAGTCTGAAAAACATCACAAACCCCAATGAGAGCCAATTTCCACAAAAGCGAAAAACCGTGAAACATTGGTGAACTTTCCCAGAAGTTGCCAGCCTTCCAAAATTGCTTACTGGCAACTTATCCAGGAGATCAAAAAACAACACAGAATAACATTTTTGAAGCACTGCAGAGTCTGAGCAAAGATGGCCTCCAGAAGAGGTGCAGGTTAAAATGTGAAAACCGTTCCTGACCAAAAAAAAATAACAAGGTATGTCGAAAATGAGGATCCCTAAAACAAACACTATCACCTCTATGTTTAGACTGTCAGTATGATGCTGTCTGTACTGCTGCGCAACTATGTGGGTGTCGTGAAAATAAAAAAAATAAAATTCCAAGCACTGTTCAGGTGAAATCACTCAATCAGGTTTGTTCATGAATTGTGCACAAGTCAGAGAACTCGTAAGACAATCAATAATGAAGCAAGTCTGGATGTAAAGCTCTACCAAGCAGAGACTAGACGCAAGTTTTATACAAACATAAAGGATCCAAAGCATGGGAAACGGTCTGGTTAACATGCAGCTGTGGGAAACAAACTTCCAACCTTGTACATGTAACCCAGGTAGCAGTTATCTTGGTGGAACCATACAAGAACTAACAAGGTATTGTGAATAAACATATCACAATACTACTAGCAGATGTGACCTTATTGTAATTTTTCCACCACAGTACATATGGTGGAAAAATGCACCACATGCATTTTGTTGTAGTGAGCAACAACGTTCTTGTTTCTAGTAGAAAACGTTCTTTGAGAACATCTAGTCCTCATTTTGTGATCACAAGCTAAAGTACAGTGTTCCTTTTATCCTTTATATTACCACCTCTAACATTTATACTTGGGTCTATGTGCTGCTATCTTGTGAAATTAAAGTACAACTACTTGTTTGTGAACACAAGCCTTTCCTATAAAGCTGAACCTGGTGCAAGAATCTAAACTGTCTTAGTTAAATCCTAATAAAGAAGCTATGGTGTGACTTTACGCAGTCCATTCAGGGTTGAAATAAAACAGTTCTGAAAGAAGAGCGGGTCACAGATGGCACCTACTCAGCACCATAGGTTGCGTTAATGGAATATTTTCCATATTTGACCGGTTATTTTTTTTAAACGAACGGAAAATTTAAAGCCCGACTGTCATCTGACAGGTTATAATAAACATGCGCAGACATGATAGATTTTACGCAAAGAGTTTATTGTAGAGGCAACTAAAATCAATTAATAAATAAAATCCTTTCTGAATATCATCTCGTGGATTCTGAACTAAATGCGTCTTTCTGACTGGGAGCTGCCAGCGTGTTGAAGCGTTATGGACCGGACGCTTTGGAGCGTCTGGTTCAGAAGCGCCTTGCAAACCTCTGGTTGAAATGGCGCCTTTAATTCCAGCCTTCATTACATACAGCACAGAGAAAACTAAAGAGAATGCAACGTTGGGCAGCAATCCACTGTAGTGATTACAATGTATGACAGAGCTAATATGTAATTATCCATGGTAACAGAGACTTGTTCAAAAGTTGCTCTGATATCAGAACCAGAGTTTAATCTTCTTACACTGATCACACAAATCCAGCTTAAACCGAAATTTCACAGCATCAAACAAACATATAAACACAAACGTGGTTATACTGCGAACCAATTGCGATGGTTGTTTTTTCCCCAAACAAAGGGAAGGGGGAAATCTATATTTCCTTAAGAAAAATAAATAAATAAAAAGATTCGGACTTACTTCTCGTCGTCGTGACGCCCAGCAGCTCTGTTTGATTTTCCACACCACGGCGGCCACCAGCAGCAGCGACAGGAAGCAGCTGCGGAAAAGCGGGGAGATGGACAGATGAGCATAAAATTCAGAGACAAATTGAGGACGGGACAAAAACTGGGAGGCTGAGGAGTTATGTTGTGTCGTCTATACATTTATGGAGCAGCATGTGAATCGTGTTCTTTAAAAAACAATCGGCTGAAGTTAGGACTGCAGCTAACCACTTCATCCAACTCCAATGAAGAAAATCATAACCAGAAAAATTCTTTTACAATACTTTAAATCAGCGTAATCATACCCCTATTAAATTAGGAGAAGTTTCTCTAAGAGGCTCTTTTTATGACAATCCCAGCACTCAACCAAATGTAACATTCAAAGATTCCACCTGCTCTGTGCAGACAAAAGGAGAACTCCTGTGGGTCACGACGAGAAGCGCTTTCACAGTGTATAAAGCAACTGTGGATGATGTCACTGCTCCACAACATGTGGTGAAAGTGTTTAATGTCAAACAGAGGCAGCATCTGTTCAGCCCGGTAAAAAAAAAGGCAGAGGAGGTAGACAAGGCACAGCAGGGCTTTCAGTTTAAACAACTCCAGGTAAAACAGCTTTAATTGGAATGGAAATTGTTCTGTGTGCTGCATTCGTTTCTGGGTGGTTTTGAGTTGGCATCGTCCTTTACCCGGATGTAAAGTTGCAGGGCAAAAGAGCAACTATAGCTTTAGCGTTCACATGGCAGCACAAACCGAAGAGTGGACGCTGCGTATTCAAACGTACACAGGCTAAAGTCTGTCAAAATCCTTTTCAGAACATCTGAAGTTTTTCTGTTACTCTCGACATATTGTCGGTGTACAGAAGTGTCAACAAAATACACACGGTACAACAAAAAACGTTTTAGAGAATTTATGCTAAACTTCCTAGCATAACTTCCATTTTATCATAAACTCCACTGAGCCTTTTGACATTTCACTGTACTTGCGGGAAGAAATCACACATTTGCAAAGCGGAGTAACACCATGAATCGATGTTCGCTATTCTAACTCCGACTCACCACTAGGTGAGGCCGTGTGTCTGAATAAAACCGTTTCATAAGCAGGCTGAGTCAAGTGATTGGATGAAGCTGTACCGCTACAACCAATCGGAAAAATTAACTACTGAGGCACCGCTTCCCCTGAGGAGGCCAGCGCTATGAAGGCAAAATATTTCAGAACCAAACAAATTCACATAACGTCAAAATCCACACAGTAACGTAAAGATAGAACCGTAAATGATCTATTCAGACAGTTTATCGAAAAAAATAAATAAAAAATGTTGATTTGGGGTTTAGTTGCACCGTAAACATTTCTGCCTTATAGAATCTAAAAAAAATGTAGGTCTGCCTTCAAACATCTGAGCACAATGTTTGTCTTTAAGTTGCTGCAGGCTTATATTCTCTGATGGTTTATTATTCAGCAATATGTCAAAAAGTCCTAATGAGCCACTCGTAACTAATTTGACAGCTCAATGTTTCCAGAAGGAGATTTTAATCAACAAAGGAAAACTGCAGGTACACTGATGACATTTGTCACTGTAATGAAAACGTACAGCACATTGTCATTCGAAATGGCTAATATGCATTTGTCACACACACCTCAACATGCCGTTGAGTGGAATATGACATTTCTGCAGAAATTTAATGGTCCTTTTTAAGTAATGATGGGAAGAATACATTTTATCTCAGCGCCTTTCAAGACTCAAGTTTGCTTTAAGAACATCTTAAGAATCACAGATCATGAACAAAGTTTAAAAAGTGCGGCAAGGGGAGGAGATTGTGAAAGTAATAGGAGCCGTGAAGAGGTTGGTGTCGAAACTAATGGGAACAACAGAGTTGTCAACATACAACAAGAATTTGACCGATTTGGAGACTGTGGACTTTGTGCCCATAAGAAGTATTTCAGTTTTATTTACATTACATATGAGAAGGTTATGAATCAAGAAGTCAAGGAGGGAGGAGTGGGGCGGTGATGTGGCAGGTTAGAAACAAAGAGTTGAGCGTCATCTGTGTAGGAGTGGAAATGTGTCCTGTAATCTCTGGAAATATTTTGGAGAGGAAGAAGGATACAAAGATACAGCCCTGTGGAACACCACTGTTAACTGGGGAGAGTTGAGATTGGAAAGAATGAGCTTCAATAAATACATTGATATGGTTTCAGTTCCCTCCCCAACATCTGGAGCCCAGATAACTGGTAAAGATCAGGGTTTTACTGTGAAGCAGACATTTGGTCCCCCCACCCCACCCACTAAGTCTGCTGATTCTGATTTTCTAAGTCTTATTATTTATGCAATTAAATCTAATAATTGACCATCAAATAAAAAAATAAATAAATAAATCTCTGTCATTGGGTCATTGATGCAGGTAATTCAGGGTCAGTCAAAGAATGCGGTGGCGTTCTGATGCAATTGCTATTGCTTAGTCGATCTTTCATCAACGGTTCAAAAATTCAACTATTTCAGGAACTGGCTGATTAACTGGGAGTAAAACACTGAGATACAGAAATAAAGTTTCAAGCAAATGCACAAGAAACTCAATCCACTGGATGACTTTACGGTAGCCACTTGACCACTACAAAGATGCTTTCTATCAACCGGTCGAAAAAAAAAAGACAAAAAAAAACCCCACTCTGCTTGTTACTGGCATGTAGTAAAAACAGGCTAATGGGCTGTGATTTTCTTCTTTTCCCTTTAGTGTTTACAAGGCTTTTCTTCTCCGCTCAAATACATACGGTGTAAAATACAATACATGAACAAACTTTCCAGGCTTTCTGAGATGTATTTAATTAGGAAATCCCACGCTAAAGCATAACATCTATTTACTTCATAGTGAAGTAGACTTTTCTCCAAAGATTAACAACCCCAATATAAATGCCTCTCCTGTTTCTGATATTGAAGGTAATGCTTTAAGATCCTCGTTCATCCTCACCCTCACACACACACCCAATCAGAGTGACTCTTTAAGGAGCCATCCTTCGAAAATAAAAAAATAACTCCCTTCTTCTCCCTCGCCTGAAGAGAACTCAAAAGATCCATCCGTTCAGCCGTCTTATTGATCTGGTTCTCTGCTCACTGCTTCAAGAGCGACATTGTGCTGATGAATGATCAACGCAAATGGAAATGAACCTCACATCAAAGACGTGCTTCTCCTCTTAGCAGTTTGAGGGAGGGGGGCGCGAGAGAAGATGGCAATCGAGAAAAAGAGGGTAAAAATTAGGAATAATGATTGTAAAAATAACCGATTCGCAGAAGATGAGGGATGAAAACAGAAAATTGACGATGTAAAAATTCAAAGAAACAAAAAACAGATCAAACCACAGAAACATATAGAGGCGCACACCATAAAGATGACACAAACAGAGACAGACCAGGTCGCGCACCTCATTAAATCTCAAGCTCCACAAAGAAAACAAGCCTAGTTTGCGGCGCCTCAGATCTCACCATCCCATTACGCCGACATCTCACGCTTTCACACGGAGCAGAGACGAGCAGCTACAGGCCTACGCCGTCTCTGCACAACCACCGGTGACAATCACACCTGGCTTCTTTGATTCAAATGCATCAACATAAATCAGCCACGGAGAGGTTCACGGAAAAATCCCAGGTTTAAATATAATCTTTGTCTCTGTTAAGTACCACAATAAACACGCTGCTGATATTCACCCACATTCTCATTTCGAAAACCCCGCTTTATAAGTCGGAAAACATCTTTTGACTTTAAGGATTTCGGTGCCAAAACATCAGATTATAGTGTTCAGACTTCTGTCGGTTCTGCAGAGGGTTGATCTTGCTCGCTTGTAGCCTAAAGGGCAGCAACGCCCACCACTCACTGCAGAGATCTGCCTCAAATGGTGTGTTTTCATGCTTTTTCTATAGCAGCATGGAGGTAGCCTACAAGTAGATTGAAAGCACTCCAAGGTGGAGTTTGAAGAAAAATACCCACAGTGCCTAAAATAAATCCACTTCCACAAGCAAACTTCCTTAACTGGAGTGCTAACGACTGGTGATGAATAGCCTCGGACCCTTGACAGTGACAGGTGAATGGAAAGCAGGTTCCTGCTTTTTAATGCGGCAACTACTACAAAAGCAATGTTGACAGTACATGAAGGTAATACAGTGTTTGTTTCATCAGTCTTGTTGTAAAGCACTTCTATGTTAAGGTAGATTTGATTTGCTGTTATGGTTGTAGTGACCAAGCAAAATAATACCAAAATGGAAGCAAAATAAAACTTCGGCAACGACGAGCGAGTGTCTTTAGGTTGACGTCATGTTGTGTCTTTGTTTTAGAATCTTATTTTGAAGCAAGAAAGGACAAAGTTCTTTCTTGATGCCCTTTTGCCTCGAGTTAGGACGCAAGAGCGGCATCCTAACTTGACAGAGTCAGCAAAACAAAGAGTGGGTTACAAAAGCATACCAGATATTTCTTTTATAATGTTTGTGAGGCAGCATTCTGAGTGAAAAGTAAAGTAACACAACTGAAGTACCTTCAGTTGTTATAAACATGCTCTATATGTCAAATATGACTTGAAAGAAATTTCACTTTGTAAGTTAAAGCCTTGAAAGTGGGTCTCCATCGGTTTATGAAGCTTTTTGAACTTATGAAACTCCACCTTCAAGAACTCAAGACAACGTCACTCCTCCAGTAACCTTTTAGTAACTCAGGAGCTAGTAACTCAGCTCCTTCAGACTAGCCAGTAACAACTAGCAAACACCTACCAATGTTAGTGAACTAGGTGCTTGCTAACACTGTCTAATTTAGCTAACCCAGTGTTAGCAAACACCTAGTTTGCTAACATTCTGGTAGGTGTTTGCTAGTGAGGAGCTGAGTGGGAGAGTCATGGGAAAGGGCTGCTGTGCAATGCTTAAGTTTGGAAATTGCAGCTCCGAGGAGGAGTTTTATCTTTTGCATTGTTATATGGTTGCTATGGGAGATTAAAGGCTTTCTCAAATATGCATGACAGACACAAAGAAACACTCCAGGTATGTTTTAGATGAGGAAATAACATTATAATGTAATGTAAG